GTATCTGCTCAGAACTTCGAGATTACCCGACCACCTAGAGTCCCCCTCTGACTCTGATTCCAATTTACAACATCCATTTTGGACATTTTGACAAGATTTGGTTCGAGTAGAACTCATATAATGTGCTGGAAAAATGTGCTCGTCCGATATTTCGATGTTTTGCGAAAACACTTAGATCTGCTCTTGGTAGCTCCAGAAGTAAACAATGCTGGGACTTACTTAAAGTACAAAAAACTAAATTTCCGTTAGTGTGCAAAAAACAGTTGTTAGTGTCAAATTGAGTGCGACTTACACTTCGTGATAATTCATGTAGGGCACGTAGTTTGGCTCGGCCATGTAGGGTCCAGATGGCACAAGTGTTAGTAGTTGGCCCTGGTCAAAAGCAGTTGGCATGTAGTCCGGTTGCAGGGGATAGCCTCTAGCTAAAGATAAAGGGACCTCTTTAACTATTTCAACGACTAAGCATATGAGAATTTTGTAGCTAGTAACGAATTCCCCCCTTTTGCAAATGAGGATGGCAAATCGTTACTAGGTACCGAAGGGTGGGGGGATAATTAGATGGCTTCAATAGAAGTATCATATTAATTTTCGTATGCCATTTTAACTTTAGCAAACTGAGGTTCATAATACAATTAAGGGCAGCAAAATTATTAAGACGTTTTTTTGTAACTCTAATGACGAGGGTGACTTGACTAGTCTCCTTCAAGTTTTAGTATCACGTTTCATAAACGTTTAAAAAAAATTGCTTATTTTTGATTCTAAAACAAATTTTCTTCAATGTTATCTAGCCTTTTTTCAACATGACTTAAAATCCAGTCTCAAAGAAATATCTTAAAATATTCGAATTTTTTGAAGAAGCACATCACAAAATTATTTTATCCTTAATTCTTTCAATACCTGATTGATAGACCTCGACTCAGTAGCGGATTTAGGGGGGGGGGGGGTGAGCGGGGGGGACGCTTCTTCCTCTCAGGGATTCGAACCCCTGCCGACCCAAAGGGTCGCCCCTTTGTCCTATTTTGAGATATCCATATTTGCTGAGGGACGCTATAAGTTTTCTAAAGGCGCCTTTGGCGCCAATCTATACTAATTTTCAGGCGGGAGCGCGCGTCGAAAAAACGCAATTGTTTGGTCGAAGTTTTCCAAAAAGTGCCTAAAAACGCCTTTTTCTGGCGTTTTTTCAAAAATTTGCCTGATGCGCAGAAAATTTGGTCAAGTTAGTGTCTTTTCTTAGTGGTTTGGGAGAGCTCAGAAAATCAATTTAGTTTCGCAGCCTTGAAAAAAAATTTATACGCCGCTACTGCCACGTTGACACTTGAATACAAGCCTCATTAACTTGCTTATTTCATTTTTAATTTGCAAAAAAGTCTATTTTCCTGAAAAATTTTGATAGTATTTTCAGAAAGTATTTTCGTTTGCAGAAAAAGTTTGTTTTCAACCTTTAGATCTGTTACTGACTGACATTTACGGATTTTTGATTATTTATTTCGTTCTATGGTCTGTATATCAGTCTGTGCTTTTGTTTGTAGATCTATATGCCAAAACACCGTACTGATTAACAAGATGGAATTAAAATTTTCCATAAATTTGGGTTGAACGTTTGTTTGGTAACTTTTTCCTGAATCTAAAAAATATAACTCAAGGTAAATTTTTTTTATGGAAGTCCAATGCAGACAATATGTGCTGCTATATGATGGCTCGTTATAAAATTTTTTAAAATTTTGTTATGAAACATCACTGGAATATTATTGAAAGATCTATTTTCATATGCTGTAAGAAGGTAATCAAAAACACTCATTTTCTTGTTTTTTTAGCCGTCGCAGAAATTTTGGTCAAGTTAGTGTCTTTCTTTATAGTGGTTTGGGAGAGCTCAGAAAATCAATTTAGTCCACCATAAAAAGGTCGACAAACTTTTCAATTTTTTTGAAAACCTGCCCCCCCCCCCTCGAGAAATTTGCGGCTTCGACAAGTTAAGAACAAGCAAGAACAGATCACTGTACCACCGGCATCTTTGAAAAGTTTAAGTTCGAAAATTTTTTTGGTGATTTTTGCATTTTTTTTGTCATTCTGGAGGAATGGGGTGAGCGACGCATTAATACGGGACGTCATTAACATGACGCATTAGTTTATATTTTGCGGTTATTAGATTTTAATGGTACTGTTTTCATGTCATATATTATTTTTAAAGGCTTAAAATTAGTTATAATAGATAGTATTGGTTTTTTGGAAAATAACCTGGAAGTTTTTTGAAACCTCTTACACCTCAAGAAAATATTCGATTGTCACCTCCCCCGTCGCCCGTGTTTAGTCTACCCCTGTTTAATTTTCTCCTAGGCTTATAACTAACGGTGAAACTTGAGGGGGGGGGGGGGAGTGAAAGTGGTTGGAGTGGGGGCTTAAGATTAAACGCACCATGAGGCCAAACAGTATATTTTGTGAACTGTAAGTGGATTCTGCGAAAAAGGACACTTCCTTTGTTTTTTTTTCTGGTCTTTCACTTTCTGTGATCGTTGTCACAAAACTTGCAGAGACATACAAACACCAAGTTGTGCGCTTCTCCAGTGCATATTTTGGCCTCGTAATGCAATCGTTATAAAATTGAATGGTCCGTGAATAGCATATGAGTTGTTAGAAAAACCCATTAGATAAATCATAGTGGAAATTAAAAGGATTTTAACCGGTTATAATGGATTTGATTGGACTGCATTCTTACAACAACAAACTTTTGCATCGAAAACATGATCAATTACAGGGTTTTATTTTGCAACAAAAATTGGTTAGACTGCTACTAGTGATATTGAATTGTTTTTAGGTAGAAAATATACAAAAGCTCCAGAAATGTCCAGAATTGTCTTTTCAGTGTATACTCAACTGCCATATTGATCAAAATTTAATAGTAATTTAAAACACATTTCTGCATTTTTTGTAGCCTTGAAAAAAATTTATACACCGCTACTGCCACTTTGAAACTTGAATACATGCCTCATTAACTTGCTTTTTTCATTTTAATTTGCAAAAAGTCTACTTTTCTGGAAAACTTTGATAATATTTTCAAAAATTCATACAAAAACTTTCGTTTGCAGAAAAAGTTTGATTTCAACTTTTAGATCTGTTACTGACTGACATTTACGGATTTTTGATTATTTATTTCGTTCTATGGTCTGTATATCAATCTGTGCTTTTGTTTGTAGATCCTTATGCCAAAACACCCTTCTGACTAACAAGATGGAATTAAAACTTAACTGAAGGTAAAAAGTTTCTTTTATGAAACTCCAATGCAGACAATATGTGCTGCTTTATGATGGCTCATTATGAAACTTTTTAAAATTTTGATATGAAATGTCACTGGAACATTATTGAAAGATCTATTTTTATATGCTGTAAAAAGGTAACCAAAAACACTCATTTTCTTGTTTTTTTTAACCTAAAACAATACTGCATTAAAATTTGTTCGATTTAGATGTGGGGTTACAAATGCTCAGTTTTTTTTTTATCTGTGTGCAGTTTTGTAATTGACGTTCTAGTGCTTCAATCATCTGAACTTTGCGTTTTGTTCCACACTATTAAGACGCGGGAAAAATATATAGCGTAGAGGGGTTAGCGTACACACAATTAATTTCTCTTTTTTCAATTCGAAGTTAAATGAAGGCGTTATAACACTTATAGACTATTTTTTCAAGAAAAAATTTCATTTTTTATGATAGCATCAAATCAACTGCAAGGTATGATGCTTAATACTTTCATCTTTTCAAAAGTGTTTTTTTTTCTAACTCTTTTCATATGAAAAAAAAGTTCTCATCAACTCAAAAGCAATTCTTTAATTATTTATATTCAAACATAATAGAATTTTGTTTTATCTTGTTTTAACTGTACCGATTTTCGTAACGAAAGTAACGGACTATTTGTGCTCGGGTGGGTTTTTTTTTCTTCAGACAAAATTCGACTTTTTAACTAGCCATTTTTGACAAAATTTTTTACATCATTCGAAAAGTATTGTTGTCCTAAGCTCAAATTTGAAAAAATATTTCACTTGTGATCTTTTTTCGTAAAGTTGTGGGGGTTTCAACATTGCCAATTTGGCCTATTTGAGACAATTAACGCGCGATATATTTCGCGCTATTAACGCGTAAGCGAGATTTAATCCGTCTTAGAAATAGTTCCAAATTGGTTCCAGGAAGCTTATATACCATAATTGATTTGTTAAAAGGAGCAAAATCTATCACTTTGTACTCTATATGGCGTGTGGGGGGGGGGGGTGACTTTCACAAAAAATCTCAAATTTTAGAGAAAAAAAAAATTATTTTATTTTATTACCTTTATTTTTTTAATGTTATTACTGCTCCATAGACCTTAAAATGCAGTCGGAACATTCAGAGCTTCGCCCTGATACGAGCAGTCTTTTTTTGTTTCATTTCAACAAAAAACTGTACTTGAAGTTTTTGCGCTACAGACAATTCTTGTTCCCTCTTTTTTTTTGATTGAGGAGAAAGAATGTGGTTTTTTATCATTATAAAATTAATGTCATCATTGAAAAATTTTTGAAATTTGGCTTGATATCTTAATTAACACCACGCCATTAAGGAAACACTTATGTTTGTGTTCTCACTTGATTCATAGTCAGAGTCAAGTTTCTATCTAGTAAGATCCAGTAAAGTTCTTGATTGGAACATATTCTAACAAAACGTTTATCATACAACTCCATTGAAAAAATGACCATCATGCAAATCCATGCATGGGTCTTATCGAAAAAATGCTAATCATACGGTTCAAAGTTATCAAATCATACGGTTCAAAGATAAGCAGTTTTTCTATTTAAACGGTTTTTTTCAGAAAACCTTCCAAAAGGGTTTTTAGGTAAGTTTAAATGAGCTTACATCGGGTTTCAATTGAATGAGAACCAATTCACTATTGAATCATCACTATTGGTCAACTATTGGACAAAAAAAAATGCTTCTAATACAAGTTCAAGGTATGAAAATTGAATGATAAGAATTTTATTCATGAAAAAGTCCACAACTGAGGAAAATTTTTAAGTTCTCATTTTAGACACTAAATCAGTTTCATGAAGAAAAAGACGGTTTTCCAAATACTTTTTGAAAGCAAAAATTTTAAATTTTTGCATATAAAAGTCCACGCACAGTCTTTATACACAATTTGAGTAACAGATCTTCTCACCTTCAGCTGATGGAGCTATGATGCATAAAGATACATAAGCTATCAAAAATGCCAATGTGTTTAATGAAATCGAGCATCTTGCAGGGTGATTTTGAGCCATTTTTTGGTGGAGGTGGTTTATAAGTTGGACTGGTTTGTTCTCTCAGTAGGCTTTTTAGCAGCAGTTTTATTAAAAATTACAAAAGCTACCTACACGAATTTAGATTAGAGCTGTTTATCATTCACCCAATATTCAAAACTCCCCCTAAGCTCCCACAAAATTTCTAAGACGAAATTTTGAATAGCTCAAATCTTCAGTAATGGCACTTTTAAAAGTTTTTTATTTAGTTCTTATACTATTTGGGTAAAATCCGTTGTCTTTTTGTCTATTTTCCGAACAATGATTAGATGTTAGTCACAAAAAAATCGTAGTTTATTATTTTGCGACAATGATTGTTTTAATGAATCCATTACTATTTTATGAAGTCATAATCTAAACTAAATTTTTAAAACTGCTGCCACGGTAGAGAACCCGAGAGGAAAATAATAGTTACCATGTAGATGTAATAGTTTACTAAGTGCGATAACTTTTACTAAGTTACGTGCGATAACTTTTTAATCTATATAATATCGCCAATTTTGTCTAACACCGATATTCAATCTCCTTTGAGACCTCTCGATCAGAAATTGCCTGTGGCATTGGTCAAGCTCTGTGTAGTGAATTAATTTCCGGCAGGTCTTTAGAATGTTTCCAAATTTCTTAAAGAGCATGCATTAAACGGAGAACGGTCGGATTATTCCAAATCTGAATTTATTCGTAGAAAAAGCGGAAATTTGAATGAAAATGGAAAAAATAGGAACTTTTCTAATTTTATACCTAACCGATGGATTTGAGTTTTTTAAAATAACAAGACTGCTCGTATCAGGGCGAAGCCCTGAATGTTCCGACGGCCTTTTAAGGTTTATTGAGCAGCAGTAATAGATAAAAAAAATTAAATGAAATAAAGTAAAATGAAATTTTTTTTTCTAAAATTTGAAATTTTTTATGAAAATCATCCCCCCACACGCCAAATAAAGTACAAAAAGGTAGATTTCGTTCCTTGTAGCAAATCAATTATGGCAAATAAGCTTCGTTCAACCAATTTGGAACGATTTCCAAGACGGATTAAATCTCCGCTTACGCGTTAATAGCGCGAATTATATCGCGCGTTAATTGTCCCAAAGTGGTCAAAATGGCTAAAATGGCCATCTTTAAACCCTCATAACTTTACAAAAAAAGATCACAGGTAAAATATCTTTTCAAGTTTAGGCTCAGGACAACAATAGCTTTCGAATGATATAAAAAAATTCTGTCAAAAATGGCTAGTTAAAAAGTCGAAATTCGTCTGAAGAAAAAAAACCCACCCCGAGCACAAATATTCCGTTACTTTCGTATCGAAAGTCGGAACAATAAACAAAAAGCGAGATTAACTATTTTTGTCTAGGAACAGAAGGTAGTCGGAATCAATTCATAGCCCAATTATATACCGTGCACCCACATAAATGTCCGGTTTGACAAAATATGCTTATCTTACAAATTCATACTATTAAAATGCTTATCGTACAATTTCGTAATATAAAAAATTTCTTATCATTTTGTTTCATACAAATTCATGGACTGTAAAAATTGTATGAAAATAGTAAGATAGGCGTTTTTTGATGCTATGAAGTTTATAACAAGCATTTCTTCATTCTGAAATATAAAAAAATAATAATTTACCTGTCTTCGCTACCTCAAATGTTTATGAAAAAAGCATGGAAAGTATTTTTTTGTTCCGACCATTGTACTTTATAGTCATGCGTTTTAGATGTATTTTTTCCAAGCAAAACTAAGTACCACAAACAAACATCGAACTGGGTCGAGTAATCTATCATATTAAAGCCCTTTCTGTCGTTATTTGAACGAACTTTACATCTTTCGAAAAATGTCCCGGTATTGAGAGAAACTGTTTCGAAATTTTCGAGATATAGTCTAAATTCGAGCGAATAAAGTCAATGAACAGGCTTAAATTTGCTTATATCTTAATTTAAGCCGTGACAATTTAGTTTTTGGAGTTTTTGTAGCGCCATTTTGAGAATCAAAATTCATTAAAAAAATAAAAAAAAAAGTTTGAGTGAATTTTGAAAACAATTCCGGTCATTTTTCTACAAAAACATTTAATAAATTTGCTTATTTCACTACAACTGTCTATTAAAACTAATTTTCAAGTTTTGGAGCAGACCCTTTCATCACATCACGCAGAGTATACAAATTTATTTTAAAAATACTTTTTTTTAAAACTATGTTTGGAACGTTCTGTGCTACTTACAGAGTAACCGGTTGTTCTTGTTTTTTTTTTAAACTGTATGATACATTTTTTTCAAGACATATGACAATCGGTAACAATGTGTAATAAGCTTTTTGAAATTTATGAAACTGGATGCCAACCATTTTTTGCATTCTTGAAAATGTTTTCTACCACGCTTCAACTTTTTTGAATCAAAACTTAGGAGTTTGATACAGGAACCTTCCATAAAGCTTACTATCTCCAAGCAATGGGCCAAAATAATATCAAAATTTTGACTGTCAAAATGCTTTCAACCTATAAAAACCCAAGTTGAACTCATTTCAAATTTTTTTTGAATGATTTATGAATTTTAATTTTGCAACGAAAAAACAGCGCATCTTGAAATTGTTATCTATGAATTGTGCAAGACCAGATTTTTTACATCCAAAAAAAAAATAGAAAGTTTTTTAATGATCGGAAAGAGTCCAATAGATAAAAAGTGTGTTTTAAAACCCCTAAAACATTTTTCAATGTTGAACTAAAATCGTATGACAAGCATTTCTTGCTTAGAAGTCAAACCGGATGTTCAAAAGCTTTTCAAAATCTTAATGGTTCGGTATCATGTTTTTACAATTTCTGTTACTATATTGAATGATGCAAACAGCTTGCGGTCATCTGCCTCACTTCAATCCCAAAAACAGGTGCCTCACTTAGTCAAAGTTTTAGCATTTTAACGGCTTCGGTTTATTGCTCCAACTAAACCTTAAAAAGAGTGGAAGAGACTTTACAAAGTTTTCCTTGCTGGTTGATTGCTTAGTAATTCATCCTAAGTTATAAGTCTCACCTTATATCGTCAAGTTGTCTTGACAAACGTTATAGTAGAAACAATAGTAAGAAAAGGTATGAACTAATTAGCTGGGTAAATACCAAGCACAGGGTTATTAGATTATATAAATGAATCGAACAGCCTGGAGAAATATACCTATGAGGGGAGGTTTAGTTAATCTTATTTTGTTCATCAATATTTTATCTTCTTACTAAGGTCGACGATCGTTTAGTATTCTTGGGTCACCCTTGGTTGTGTCCACTTCTGCACTTCTGCTTGGTCGTCTGTAGTGTCCTTGTTGTAGTCCTTTTCGTCCTTAAGATCCGGGTTTCCTCGGTTGTGCATATCTAGATTTATAAGTTTTATCGAATTAAAAACGAGAATTTTTTCTCTATTTTTTTTTTGGAAAAAGACTATTTCTATGTTATTGTAAAAAAAGGAAAAGAAAAATTATTTATTTTGAAAAAGAAGTTGTTACGAGAAATGTTTCTGGATAAACAATTAGCATAAGGCATATAAAATTATTGGTTCCTAAATGAGGTAAGTCAACAGCTGCTATTCGTGTAAATAGTTTATTTGTAAATGTGGGAAACTGAATTAGTAAAAGAACTTGTCTGTCTAAAATATCGACTAGCATTTAGTCTATGGGGATGCGCAGTTTTTTTGAGGGCATTCTGAAATAGAAAACTGTTGCCTTATATTGGTGTTATAGTGTTGTTGTTGGTGGTTGAATGAGGGATTGTTGGGCTAGAGGTTGTTCCGTACTGAATGTTCATTTTGGTTATTTAGGTCTGGGTATAAACCAGGCTCGTTTCGTGAATCTGGTGACAGTAAGGGTACTGCGGGCTCATGTCGCTCTACCATAGGTATTGAAGCAGTGCTTTCTTGGTAAATATTTTGATTATGATTTTGTTGTCGTATTTGTTTTTTTCTTGAGTTTCTCAAAGTTGATCATTCAAGATTGGAGTTTTCGTTTGAGAAAATGGAGGTAAAAGCTGATAGAACGAAAATGTTATACGTTGCACCTTACATTATCTTCCAGAAACTCATAGTAGGATTTGTTAGTTTATTAATTTTTAAAGCTTTAAAATTTTTACTATTGTTTCTAGCAGGAGTTTGAGAAAAAGAAAACAGGCAAAACAAATTTCGATTTTCTCCAAGAAAAAAGCGACAAAACCGAATGTTCCGATGAAATTATTTATGAAAAATCCCGGTGAAAGCAGAGAATCTAGCTAAATTTTTTGGTTTAAAGCCATTGCGGCGGTTATCCATGTGTCCCATAATCCCATAAACGCATAATCCATGTGTCCCTTTTGGAGAACAGTTCTGGTAATTTTTTCGAGAATAGATGTTGATGCTGTGTTATGAATAATGTTATCCCAAAGTGCTTTCAATTGTTTTGGGGTATACATGCCTGCGCGTCTCGAATCGTATACGGGAAAATACGTAATATGGCCTATATCTTGTGGAGCGAACATTGAAGGAGTTTAGAAAGGTATTGGAGCCGGCATTAATTGCTATCAAGATAAATTATCATCTAAGTTGAAAGGCATTTTTGTAGCCACCAACGCAATGTATTTCGTTGCCACAAGGAAAAGTTTGGCGGGTAATAGGGTCGACAAACATCGTTCGCCCATTGTAAAAAATTGGTATTCGATTGAAGCTTTTTTCGAGAACTTTAAGAGGTGAAACTTTCTAGGGCAGTGATACAGCCAGCCAACTGCTCCATCGTTGTCCAAAAACATAGAGAGGTTGCCAGTTAGCATGTATCCTGCCTGGTATTTTGTAAAGCTAACATCCTTATTGTTAGAATTTGTGTTCTTTCGAGTTCACATTGATTCTGCAATAATGTCATTTCAGAATGTCTGAGTTGTTTAGCATTAAAGTACAATATGTAATCTAACTTTGCACCGAAATGAAGTTCGTAATCAATTTCATCGCTACCTACATGGCGCCAAAGAGGATCCCAATTCTGATTGCTATGTTCATCATGGAGGAATGAAAAATTACCTGATCCCAGACGGTAGTTCAAAGGTTTCACTCTGAATTGATCGTTCTCATTTAATTGCATTTGATAGTAATTTCTATCATCGTGTCGTATGTTGCTGGATTTACCAGTGTTCATTTCAAAACCGCCTGAATATCAAATAAACCAGGACTCAAAATTTGTTTTATATAATGCTCCTGGCCTGCTGCAGAATTCTTGCTGCTTTTTGTATATGCGAATTTTTAGATCTAAGCCATTGGGATCCGATCCTTGTCCCCTATTCTTACATGCTGTCGAACTGTCGCCTTCTAATGACGTTCCTTCATTTCTGGGTTTTAAAATACTTTCATTCATTTTTATAATTAGTTCATGAGTGTATCCATCTTCATTCGCTAAAATTTTGTTGTTCTTTGCTGCTTTTTCGCAATCTTCTGGTGGTATGATAATTTTATAGGTTATCATGTTCAAATTGTGAACGATGGAAGAATGTGCCCACATTCCGCAGTTATAACGAATGGGAAATAATATAATTTTACACATAA